TGCCCCCTATAGGGGAAAGGGCCTGTGTCCCATTCCCTGTCCCCCTGAGCCAGCCACTCCCCTGGCCTGGGGCTGCGCCCCTTAGAGGGGAAAGTCCCCTCCCCAATCACCTGGAGATCAGCCTGTTAGGGTTAACAAATCCCTTCCTTCTCTCCCTATAAGTACCGTGACTGTTGGGGGTAGAGACGGGTCTGTCACCCCTCGTGGGGCTCTTCGTACCCGCAGCGGAGGCTGGCCCCTCCGGGAGAGCTGGCTGAGGTTTTCCAAAGGGCGGCGTCTGTGTCAGAAAACGCAGCTCGATTGAAATCGACACAAGCTGGGGAACGCGTCTGTTTAGAGACAATTCCCTGGCGCGGGAGGCGGGTTCGAACGGAATGGACCAAGCGGAGTTGTTTCATTTCAAAACGACCCTTTTTTGGTTGCCGGATAGATTTGATGATTTTGCTGTTTCTAAGACAGGAACCAAAGCAGCGACTGACCTGGGTTGGTTGTGCAATGGGGGAAATGGAAAGTCCAAAATGGGTTCCATTGTTTTTTTTTTGTAATACATAAAAGGCAAACAAGTCCCCGTTTTTGTATTTTTTGGGGGAGATGAGGGGCAGTCATGTTTTGGCCAATAGTCTATTTTGATATGATAAACAATTAATTGGTATTTTATCAATTGTCTCAATGCACCCAAACCAACCTTGGGGTTCTTTTTTTCAGAAATGTTGTGGCAAGTTTCACAATCTGGTATCTTTATATATCTTTTGTTTCCATTTCGGAACCAAGTTGGGGGGATTTCCTTCCAAAGCGCACTTGTGCTTCCTGGCCAGCTCCCACCCGAGGCTGGTAGAGATAAGGCAGGACATGGGGCTTGAGATCTTGGTTCTAGCCACGTCTTTGCCCCCAGCCTAAGAGGAAAGGACCCAGGGTAGGTGACATGGGAAAATGTCCATGTCCCAGGCAGCGTCTCTGGTTCATAAGGGGGAGAGTGCCCCCCAGCCCACTCCCTGAAGCGCAGCACCCCCTAGCACCACACGGGCATCGGGGCCAGCCCTGACTGCCAGGGGAGAGTCCCCACCCTGTCCCCTGCAGTACAGTGCCCCCTAGTACCATACTGGGGCATCAGGGCCAGCCCTGACTGCCAGGGGAGAGCTCCCCCAGCCGGTTCCCTGCAGTATGGTGGCTCCCCCTTCACACGTGGGTTGGTGGCGCCTCCTCGAAGGCTGCCTTGAAGGCCTGCACCAGCGGCCTCCGCACGGCGTCCTGGAACTCCCTCCCAGCAAAGACGTAGAGCAGGGGGTTGATGCAGCTGTTGAACATGGCCAGGCACTTGGAGAGAGGGATGGCCACCAGGCGCACGGCGCTGGGCATTTGGGCCGTGGAGATCCTGGCTAAGGCCAAGGCATGGTAGGGTGACCAGCAGAGGAAGAAGCAGAAGATGACTCTTGTGACCACCAAGAGGGGCTTGCTGGACTTGGCCAGCCTCTTTCGCCTCATGGCCACCACCAGGATGGAGTAGGACACGGAGATGACCACCAAGGGCAGGAGGAACTGAGAGAGGAAGATGAACACGGTCAAGATCTCGGCCTCTTGGCGCCTCCAATCTTGGAAGACATCCAGGTTGCTGCAGGAGCTCCGGTTCCTCTCGAAGGAGAGCTCGGAGAAGAGGAAGGAGCTGGGCACGAAGGTGGCCAGCGACAGGGCCCAGATAGCGGCGCAGGCCACCCAGCTGAGCCGCGGCGTGCGGTGATTGCGGCACCAGACCGGGGCCACCACTACCACACACCGGTCCACGCTGATGGCGCTGAGCAGCAGGACCCCACTGCAGAGGCTCAAGCCGAAGAGGCAGTTGGCCAACTTGCAGGCCACGGAGCCGAAGGGCCAGTCCAGATCCAGGGCCAGGTACAGGACGGTGACCAGGATCAGAGAGGTGGAGGCCACGTCGGCCACAGCCAGGTTGAAGAACCACACGGTGTTGGGGGTCCAGCGCAGCTTCCAGCCTGTGACCCACAGCACTGCCCCGTTCCCGGCCGCCCCGGCCAAGAAGATGAAGCCGAAGGCGACAGCCGTGGTGACCTTCATGGCCTGGCGCAGTGTGGCCTCCCCAGATGTGGCGTTGATGGGCAGCATCGCCCTGCTGAAGAGACAGTGTAGGTTGTGAAAGGCCCTACGCTTGGGTTCTCTCCCTGGGGGTAGGATGGGGGGCTGGGAGCCAGGACTCCTGGGTTCTATCCCTGATGCTGGGAGGGGAGTGGAGTCTGGTAGGTTAGAGCTGGCGGGGGCTGGGAGCCAGGACTCATTAACTGGGCCACCATTGAGGTCTCAGTTGAATGTTGGGATGATCCGAACCTCCACCCCCCACCATTACCCATGTACTAACTAAACTAATGGTTGTGGGCACTGTGTGTGTCCCTGCTGGAAGGAGTGTGTGTGTGTGTGTGTGTGTGTGTGTGTGTGTGTGTGGAGACAGAGAGACGGCTCCCCCCACCCCCGTCCCTCGCTCTAAGCCCCGCTCACTTAGTGACGCTAATGGGCGCAGTTGCATTGACCGCAGGCCCACCTCCCTGCTTTGTTCCCAAACAACCAGCTGGGGCCAACGCTTCCATCCTAATGCGTCAATTTCCCAGCCCCGTGGGGGTGAGAGCTCAGCTGGGTGCTGTGCCGGCAGGGGGCCCAGGGGGCCGCCGTCGCTCGGCACTGGGCAAGGAGCCAGCTCCCCAGGCCCCCTGCCCCTGTGGGGGGTGGTTAGGGCTTGAGCATGGCTGCTGCATGTTCATCACTCCAGTTGGCTGCTCGGGCCCAGACCCCTGCGCCAGCTGGAGGCGGGGGCAGAGTGAGGGGTTGGGGTGGGAGAATTGACTCCATCTCTAGCTCTGGTAGGGGAGGGGAGTGGGGTCTATTAGTTGGGGTGGGGGGCTGGGAGGCAGGACTCCTGCTTTCTATCCCCACATCGGGGAGGGGGGGGGGGTCTGGGGGGGAGGGGGGGGGGGAGGGGGGGGGGGAGACTGGGAGCTGGGACTCCTGGGTTCTATCCCCAGCTCTGTGAGGGGAGTGGGGTCCAGTGGTTAAAGGGTGGGGGGAGACTGGGAGCTGGGACTCCTGGGTTCTATCCCCAGCACTGGGAGGGGTGTGGGGTCTAGTGGTTAGAGCAGGAGGAGGTTGGGGGCGGAGGCTGGGAGCCGGAACGTCTGGGTTTTATCCT